AGCAGATTCCTTGGTGACTTTGATGTTGCTGGTCTGGGGAACCCACTTTGAGAACCACCATTCTAGAATAAGAATCCAGCCTTACATTTACTGTGCACCTACTACTCTCTGCCAGAGCTTTAAAATTCTTTATTTCTAATACGTATTGCAATCCTGAAATAAAGATGTGTCTTATCACCATTTTACACCTGAAGAAGGATGCTTGTAGCACTCAGCCCATGAAAGGGCCAAGCTGAAATTGAAGCTCAGCCTGTCTGCCCTCAGGGCCTCAACGATCCCCTGCAGGGCACAGTTTTATTCAGCTGTGTATCCTCAGTACCAAAGCCTTCAGCCTGCCTTGCAGTAGCTTCTCTAATGAGTGTGTGTTGAATGAATTTGAGATCCACATAGATGAGAAATAGGTAAGAAAAATACTTGTAGTTCTTAAATGAAGAAAAAGGGAGAAGACATCCAGGTAAAGAGAAAATTGCATTGAATGCCCTTTATTTACCTACATTTGGTAAATGTAGGCAAATTGGCATAGTATTAAAAGGGGCCCTTGGATGGAGTTATTTCTAATTATGGAGCCACTTTTCTGTAATCAGCTAGGAGTCTGTTCCTTAGCCTGCCTCTGGTTTCAGGGTAGCTGTTTGAGATTGAAAATTAGCTCCGTGAGTAATGCTTCTGCACGTTAATAGTATAATGAAATAAGCACGAGATCTAGGATGATTTTCAAATCTTCCCGTAGAATTATACCATTTCCTATAGCAGAGAAATTCTGCCCGTGTCTGCTCTTGGAACACAGAAGCCATCCACTTCCATCTCTGTCTTCTCTTTCTGTTAAATATTTAGCATGTGAGAATCCATAGGCTTTGACTCTATCTATTTTCCCCGATCAAAACACAGTTTCCTCATTGCAACCTTGTAAGTCCAGCATAACAATGTTGGGTTTGGGGAGCATGGTGCACAGCAGAACTGCACATGTTAGAGACGGTTTGGCAAGTTATTTAAGTGGAATTTTTGGGTAACAAAATGGAAAACAGGACATTTTGTCCTTTATTACGTAAGAACATGGTTTAATGGAAAGAACAAGAGCGTGGAAGGCAGCCAGACAGAAATTCAAATCCTGTTCTCTGCCACTTGCTGGGCAACCTTTGGCAAATATCTCTGTCACTCTGAGCCTTGCGTGCCTTCTGTTTAAAATGGGGATGTTTACCTTGCAGGTTTGTGAAACAGCTGATAGGATCTGTTAAGTGTCTTTTACCTAGTGGATGCCTAATAAATGGTAACACTCACTATCATCTCTAAGCCCCTGGGCCTGCTTCTTTCTTGTGTTTGGATGGAATTTCTGCTGGAAAAAGGAAAAGAAGATGAGAAACATTGTAGACACTTATACACATCTGTTCTTGTCATTGTTTTTGGCATCGGTGCCTCCCTCTGTCCTCACCTTAGCCCTTAGGAGCCAATTGAGCAACCGAATATATTTATGTTTACAGGGTTTACCTGTAATAATTATTGAATTTGGTTGCGGTGCTTTATAACATCACACAGGGGATTCATAACAGTAATATCCCAATGTAAACTGGTATTACTAGACCTTCTGGAGCAGAGGGGTTACTCAGTTGTTCACCTGCCACTTTAATTTTTAAGCCCTTGGGCTTTCTGGGATCTACACCCAAAAACCTGGAGATCTCTTTCAAATATCTTAAGTCCCATAAAGGGACAAAATACCAAAATGGCAACGCTTCTAACAAGCTTAACATGTATTCGAAAATGGCAAGTTAAGGGATTTTTATGTCTTCTTTAAAAAAAAAAAAAAATTACCATAACTTCTGGCTGAAATTCAATCCCTACTCATATTCAGAAAAAGTACAACTAATAGTTAGCAAGGAAAGAGAGGAGTTTGAAACTTTGATGAAGAAAAATAAGGCACTTTACCTGAACAAATTTCAAATGGATCCATTTAAAATGAAATTAAGTGGCACTTAACTGGTTTGCAAATTGGGACCTATTTGTCTCAGTAAAATGATTAAAGTCCTGATTTATCCCTAAAATTGGCTTTATTATTACATTTAATTATACTGGAAGATTGTTAAAGACTTGTAGGTTTTCTCTATCCCTGTAAACTGTACTTTATACGACAATAATTGAATATTAGATAGAATAACTTGATTTTCCAAAGAAATATGTTTCTAATATTTTCTTCTTTTTATTGCAGAAATTGAAACAGCTTGAAGAAACAAAAGACGATCCCGAGAATAGATTATCGAAAATTTCCCTGGAGTCATTCAATAAATTTCACAGCAATACTGTGATTTTATTAGAAAAAGAGAAGAACTCTCTGAACAAGGTTGAAGGACAGGAGGAAGAAAAAGAAAAAAATGAAGAGACATCTTTGAGTAGTTCAGATAGGCCTGGGGTAGACAACTTGGAAACTTTGAGTGATTCTTTATATGATAGCTTCTCTTCCTGTGCCAGTCAAGGTTCAAATGATGTATAAAGGACTTCTCTTCCCTTAGTGAGCTGGGACTGGAGCGCTTAAGAAATGAGGGCGGTGGGTGGCGGGGGTTGCGCTGCTGGGTAGAGATGACAGTAATAAACTATTGAAGTACCAGAGCCTTCATTGTCAAATTCACAGCAGGCAAGCCACCAGAGCTCATATCTCTGACAGGGCAATAAAGATAGACTCCATTTATTGTGTTTCAAGAGGATTAAGCGTAAACACACCTATGATACAGAATCCTTAATTTTGCACTTTTTTTGAATATTTGTACAGAAGTTGTAAATTTTTTGGAAGAGAAATTATATTTGTAGCAAAAAAAAAAAAAAAAGACAGCAATAAATGGAATCAGCGCCATGCTCTTGAAATAATGTACTAAGTCTTAGAAGTTGATGATAATATATATTTTTTAAAATCCCAACTGAAGTTTTTGTGATGTTCATTGTCCTGGTCCTCAAATTGTTTGTGGGTACACTCTGTAAACCTACAACAGGGCCTGCCAAAAAACCAGAGGGTTCCTTCCTCCTCATCTCCATCTCATAAATCTCAATTTGATAGAAATGTTCATTTTAGTGCAATTTCAGATGCCTTGCCAGAGAGTCAGGTGATAGTAATCGATGTAATTGTGCTTCTGCTGAAAAATGAAAAGGGTCCAAAAGTGTGGACACTGATTGGGAGTGTGTCATTGTATCAGAAATGACCGAATTTTATTCCCAATAACAGTTTTTCCTTCCAGACATTTCTTTAGATTGTCTTCTACTTAGTGCTTCTCTATGATCCTATTATTTGATTTTTATCTTCTTGCTCTTTTTATTAAAATCTGGGCACTCTAAAAATGAAAGCAAATTTCTATTTGCAATGTTCACTTTTAAAAATAAAATTAATGGTGCTACGAAGAATTCTTTTTAATATCCTTTTTTTCTACAAAGACTGTTTATATGTAAGGATAAATTCTATTTTAAAGGTTATGTGTATTTTTTCTAGATGTGAACTATTTATAATTGCTTATGTACAGGAGCTTGTAAACTAGGCACAATAGAAATATTTTTAGGATCTATATGGCTACTTTAGCACATAATTGTTTCTTTAAAGAGTATTGTATGATCAGTGTTATTTGGTTAATTTGTGCAATTTGTTTTATTTTATCTTAAATGAAAATTATGTAAAATGTCCTTGTCTTTCAGACTTTAAAAAATCCTTTTGTTTTCTTTCTGAATAAAAGTTATATTACAATTGCACCCTCTGAAAACTGAAAATAACTTGCTCAAGGACCTTTTGGCCCAGTCAGTTACTTGAATCATGACTCACACGTGCTCTTCCGATGGGTTCCCCGAAGGAATAAATAAACTGGCCCTTTTGCTCTAGAGATAGTAATTTAGCCAATTGTAAGATCAGAGTCTGCAGACAGGTGAGTAATGGTCAAAGCATTTCAGTCTCCCCGAGGGGTTAACCAAATAGAAATGAAAGAAGGGGGGAGGGAGGGAGAGAAGGAGCCTGAGGCAGACAAGGAGCGATCTCTGCAGAGGAATTACAAAGCAAGTCATTTAAGCTCCTTTCCAGACCAGCTCAGCTGGGAGGATGCAGAAATAAATGATCAGCGTTCCGGCCGGAGAGAGCTGCCCCAAGAAGTGGCCGCGGGAGAAAAGGGTGAAAAGGGGCAAAGCTTAGGAGGCGATTTCCACGGAAATGGACGCTCCCTAAGGATGTGGGGAAAGGGGGTGGGAATGTGCGGATTGGGGGCGGGGGCACCAACGCACTCCGGCGGGCTAGCGGTCTCCCGCAACACCTGCTGCAAGGCTCGGGAAGGAAGGCGAAGATAGCACCGGGGCATCCCCGGGAGTACGCAAGGTGGGTCACTTGGACTTTGCGGAAAGAAGAGGAATTTCAGGGGTGTGGGGAGCAGCCAGAGGCCGAGTCCGAGGCTGGGATGGCCTTCCGGGAGAGGACGTGGGAGTATGTACTAATAATTGGTGGCTTTGGAGAAAGCAGGATGGAGCTGGTCGGCGTTTTGGCGACAAGGAATGGAGGAGAGCAACCCTCTTCTTTACCCTGATTTGCTTTCTGGTGGGACCTCACGGCAGGTGTCCCCGGGACGGGGTTCTCCTAGGCTAGGCGACCAGGGCGGTGTCAATGCACCCTGCGGTGCGCGCAGGCGGGAGAAGGGAGGGCGGCCCGGGCAAGTGCGACAGTCAAGGCAGTGTCCCCACCACACCCCCATCCAGACTGGCCACGCCAAGCTGGTTCTTGACAGAAGGCCTCGGAGGAAGAGGGGGCACAGCTGCACAGGACACCCTAGGGAGCCTGCGAACGTGGAACTTTGCCAGGCGCACGGGAACGTGCGCCCCTCCTGTCAGCCTCCGGGGCGCCAGGCTCCAGCGGCCCGCAGTGGGACAGCCTCAGCGGTGTGGGCTGGACCCAGTCGCTGGGGGTACTGACCAGTCCTGGAAGGCGCAGAGGACATGGGGTGGGGAGGCCGCGTCCCTATATGCGAAGGGCCAGCCGGGCACGCAGTCCTCAGACCCTAGTCCGCACCCGGCAGGTCCCCACGGCACCTGCTGCGCCCTCCCCGCGGCTTCCCCAATCTCCAGCCCCTCCACCTCAGAAAACTACCAGTCCTCTCCCGCCTCCCCCCTCCCCCCGGCGCCCCTTTCCCAGGAACGTGCGGAGGCGGGAGAAGAGGAAGACAGGAAGGGGGTGGGATGTAGAGAGACGGACCCAGCCTTACCCGCCCGCCACCCCCACCCCAACTCGGCAGCTGTCACGTGGTGCCTGGAGTGGGAGGTGGGGAGAAAAGGCGAGACTTTTGTGGGTGCTCCGGATCGCCAGTAGTTCCTTCAGTCTCAGCCGCCAACTCCGGAGGCGCGGTGCTCGGCCCGGCAGCGCGAGCGGGAGGAGCGGAGACGCGCAGCCAGGAGCCCGAGCGCGGGCGATGCATGCGCCGCGAGCGGCACCTGCGTCTCCTCTAAGCTACCACCGTCGTCTCGGCGGCAGCAGCGCGGGCCCCAGCAGCCTCGGCAGCCACAGCCGCTGCAGCCGGGGCAGCCTCCGCTGCGGTCGTCTCCTCTGATGCGCCTACCCGCTCCCGGTCCCGGGACTCCGGGAGAATGTGGGTCCTAGGCATCGCGGCAACTTTTTGCGGATTGTTCTTGCTTCCAGGTGAGAATGCCCAGAGGCCAGCAGCCGGCGCCAGGTGCGCACAGTCCATCTACCAGCCAGCCCTTTTGCCCCCCAAGGCGCCCACCTGGGGCCAGCCCTGCCCTGGGGCTGCCCAGCGGGAGTTGGGCGGCGGCGACTGGTGCCCCAGGGCGCGAGGCTGGGAAAGTGTCCAAGTCCCGCGCTGCAGGAGGAGAGCCGGGAGCGGCGGGTTTGCCGGACTCCGGGCTACAGCTTCTCGGGCTGCACGGTCGGCAGAAGCTGGGCTTGGGAGGAGGGAGGGTCCGAGCCGTGCTGGGGTCTCGGCGAGGAAGAGGGGGCGACATCTCCCGAACCCTGCCAAGTTGTCTGGCGCCTCCGGCACCCCGTGGGAGTGGCGCCGCCGACAGGTGAGCCGCGCGCTAGGCAGCCTGCGGCCTCGCTGAAGCTGGGTTGCTGCGCTCAGAGTGCGATAGATGTGGGGCGGCGGGAGCGCGGGCAGTTGGGTCTAGACAGGAGCGCGTACACCGAGAACAGCCAGGCTGAAGCGACCAGAGGCGCAAAGGTCTCGCGTCCTCTCTCCAGTTCGCCTACTGGCTCCCGACTAAGCTCTGCAGAGCTGGGACCCCGACCACCCACCCTAGCCGAACGGTTGCCCTGAGAGCCGGGGCCTGGAAGAAAGGGCCGCGGGGTCGGGATCCAGGGTGCGCGCGCTCACAAACGCCCTCTCCCACCCTCTGTGGCCACCCGGGTCGCCGCGGGGACGGCCCTGGAGAAGGGCCGCAGACCCGGGCTCGGGGACTTGCGGCGCAACAGCACTTGGCGTCTGGCACCTCCACCCTTGTTCCCAGGTGGTCGCTCAGGGATCCTCAGAGCCCTGGCACAGAAACGCTGACTTTAAAAATTAAATAAATAAAAACTGAAAAGACGTCTGCGAATGTAATCACGAATGGTGCCAAAATAGTAATTAAGTAATTTGTAACCAATTAGCAATTAGGCAAATCCTTTGGCTTTGGCTGGAGCTAACGCACGTCTCCAGAGCTACTTCGCTCTTCGGGTGGTACCATCCCCACCCTCCTTTCAACTTCTTGGGAAAAGGCCTGGGGTGGTGTTGAATGGGCTCTTCGTGTCTAGAGCCGGGGTCCAGAGGTGGCGGGCCCTATTCCATTTTGTCCTAAAGGACCCTAGGTACCGGCGCCGCCCCCTGCCGGTTTCAGCCACATCTGGCCCTACCCGGAGACCCAGGAGTGCAGAGCCCCAAGCCTCCCAGAGGCCAGGAGCCGCCGCGCTCTGGGGTGTGGGATGGTCGTGATTTCCGGGGTGGGCTCTGTGGGGGCCGGATCTGAACCCGACTGCGTCTGTCTCGCAGGCTTTGCGCTGCAAATCCAGTGCTACCAGTGTGAAGAATTCCAGCTGAACAACGACTGCTCCTCCCCTGAGTTCATCGTGAATTGCACGGTGAACGTTCAAGACATGTGTCAGAAAGAAGTGATGGAGCAAAGTGCCGGTAAGAGCCTGGCAGCCCTCCCCGTCGCTCTTAAGCCTGGGCTCTGGGGTGGGAGTGAGGGGGCCATTAAATAACAGGAAAAAGGACTGACTTTGATTTAATGCCCACACACTGGTTATCGCAGATTTACTTTTACAGTGCTGGGAAAATGAAGAGTTCCAAGTTACTTTAATCTCGTTAATTACCAAGGCTTCTCCCCAAGGGTCTTGGGAGGGGAAGTGCATTTAAATTAGTGGCTCCCCTCTTTTTATTTACTCTCTTCACCTCCCTATGCTACAAGCTGATGGAGATAGAAAATATATGGCTAACCAGCCCCGGCTTGGGCAACTAGACAGTAGCCTGTGAGCATTGTCAGCCTGAAATATGGAGCTAGTTGAAGTTCCCAGAGGTCAGAGCTTGAAAAATGTGTTTTGTCATAGAGGCACACCATATTTCCTTGAAGAACACTACAAGATCTTTATTTAATTTTAGAACTAATGCATCAACTTCCAGGCACAAATTGCCAAGATCTTTCAAAGGAATGCCGTTCTCAGCCTTACCGGCTTAGCTGCCGGCTGGCTGAGAAGAGGGCCTGAGCATCCTGTGAGGGACGAAGGGGTCTTGTGGGATAGCCCTTACTCCCTCTATCTGACCAAGGGTCTTCTCGCTGAGGTAGAACTTTCCAACCGTCCCCCAACCCCCTACCCCAGCTGTCTTATTAGAACTCAAAGTTCCCCAAATTATAACTGGAACTCTGGGAAAATAGGTGGAGCTGTTACTTCAGTTTCAAGGTCAAAACCATAAACACAGACGTTGCCATTTTAAGGATATTGAAAAGATGGGAAATAGCATAACTTTATGGCTGATATTGAATGAGCCAAAGCCCCCACTTCCCTTTAGTTCTGTGAACTGCCTGCAGAACCCGGCGAAGTGATTAGAACTGTTATATGATTCCCTTTACCCACTGGCAAATCAATGCAAGGACTCTAGTTTTAAAGCCAACAGCTTGGGAAAGTTGTTTCTTCTCAGAGAAGGGCCTGGAAATGTCATATTGCTATTCTCATGGTTATTTGGAAAGCAGATGCCAGCTTGTCACTGTGCTGTGTTGTGGTGTGTGTGTAGTTGTAAGGGCTGATTTTATAGGTCATTATTTGTTGCACCAAAATCACTCTTCTGGGTGTGTGTGTGTGTGTAGTTGTAAGGGCTGATTTTATAGGTCATTATTTGTTGCACCAAAATCACTCTTCTGGGAAGCCTGAGACATACTGGCTCTCAAGGGTAACTTGTCCCAAGAAATGGAGTAAACATCATTTTGGCACACGGGATTTGGGCTATTAATAATGCAAAACAAAACAAACTTGGCAATAATTCTTCAGTTAAGATTGATAGGGATAATTTGAACAAATGGATTTTTTTCTACTTGTGTTTCTTTCCTATGTTTTACCTGAGCAAAAAATTTACTGCCTTTCTACTAGAGGGACTGCTGTGATTTTAGTCAGAATTACTGTTAACACTTGATTGTTACGTTCAGATATTTGCAGCTTTCTTGAGACAGTAATTTAGAGCCAGACAAAATGAGAATGTACTGTGGACACGTTAAGAACTTCTTCAGAGTCCACAAGGCCACCGCTTACCTGGGTGTCATGTTTTATCACCTAGGATATGGTCGAGAAAGGGATGTAAGCTAAATGTGAGTCAGAAGAGGTTCTTTTTCTGAGAGACATTTCTTCTTCTGTAAAAGTGTGTCTAAGATGAATACCACACACTCCATTTTCAAAGTGCTGTTTTTCATCTTGCTTCATTCTGTCCTCAAAACCACTCTGTAAAAGAAGCAGAGGAGGCATTTTAACTTCCATTTTATCCACAGAAACTTAGTCTTCACGTGCCTGGCCTAAGGTTGCTCGTTTTCTGTAAGCTCGGACAAGGTGGGCATCTTGTCTCCAAACCAGGTCCCTCAGGCCACAGGGCACAGCCCAACAAGTCGAGACAGAATCATTAAGGCAGTTTCAATTGTGAAGTTTGATAAACAGAAGCAGTTGACTAACTCAAAGGAAAAGGTTATGAAGGGAAGGATGCTAGGTCGGGGTGTGTGCACATGGTAGCAAGGCGTTCTAAGCCTAAACTCCATAGAAACAAGCCAAACGGATCTGTTTCTGCATCAAAAGAACAATGTCCAGGGGGGGCTCATACCTCCAAGGCCCTTCCATTTTGATGTCCATGTACTGATTAGGGACCAATTTAATTTTTTGCCAACAAGGATAGAGAGCAAATCTAAAACTCTAAGTGAACACAGTTGTAGTATAATCATCATTGTAACAAGAGCTAACTTTTGTTGAGCACCCAAGACATCTGACTTTTCTCTTTCGATTGTACATACAGAATCTTGTGAAATCTGGTGGTCATCTTTGAAGATCTTGTTTCCTCATGCCACAGCCAGTCAGCATGTAATTCTATTACATGGTCAACATCTCCACTCCAGAGAAAGTAATGCCTGTTAAATGATGCTATTAAGAATTGAAGTCAGAATTTCTTTTAAGTTTGATCAATCACATATGTTATCCTGAGAATCTCAGCATACTGGAGCTGAAAGAGCCCAGCGACTCCTAGTTAAAGATGCATGTTGGAATCTTGCTGGGAGTTTTGTTCAACTCCACATGGCTGGGTCTCTGCTTAAAGAAGCCCGTTTCATAAATCTGTGGTATATCTGGCCATGGGTCTTTTATAAACTTCCCAGTGATTCTGGGGTGACCCGAGTTGAGAACTGATCTGGGGACAAACCTTTTTGTGTTATAGAGGAAGACAGCAAGGTCCAGAAAAATTAGATGCGTGGTCCAAGTTCACTAGCCAGCTGTTACTAAGAGGCGCTTGAAGCCTGCTTCCCTGGCCAGCACCTTTGCTGTAATACCACACAGCCAGCATGTCGTAAAATATCCTGCCAGGTCTGCCCTAAAAGATAGTCCAGGCAAAGTTCAAAGAGTTTAGACCATTTTTCATATCCACCAAGTTCACCTCACAGTCCAGGTAGACAGGCCATGAAGTGGATGTCAAGAATCTGAGAACCAACCAGTGAGATTTTTAAGTTTGAGCGCTATGTGGACTGGCATTTTTTCGTAGGTATAGAAAAACCAGGGCTTTAAATCAACTAAGAAAATTTAATGAACTAAGCCAGTCTGACATTAAGCAGTAATGAAAGGTGTTCTCTTTCCAAAAAATACCAGCCGTGCAATATGTGTAGGCCTTCAGTTTCTGGACTAAGTCTGCAAACTCAGCTCTTATGAATTTTGAGGCAGGTAGATTTAATTTTCGACTGGGAAGTACGTTTGAAATTAACCTTTACCTATTCCCCAGAGTGGCATTCCTATTAGGTGCTGAGATTATTATCCACCACTCTTGTTCCGTTTGGTCATTTCTGGAATAATAAGTTACTGGCGGTGGGGAAGGGAAGGTTCACTTCAACTTCTTTCATTGTCCTTACTAATTGATATTTAAATATTTGCATAACGAATGACTTGTTCTCACCAGCTCTGCACTTAATGAGTTGGTGTCTATTTACTAGCACCTTTGATAATGGCACTTCTTTTGCTCTTGCTTGTCATTGTACTCTGCAAAATATTTCAAATATTGATTTTCATTTCAGAATAGAAGCCCCCTCCAGTATGAATTTTGAAACCAGGGAATAAAGAATGTGAATTTGCATTTGTGTGACAGTGCAATCTTGTAATTAGAGTTTTTCCTCTTGACTAGATACAGTGAAAGGGGCATAATTTAATTTTTATAGACTAGCCAATTTCTGCCCTTAGTAAAATATAGCTCTGTCAGTGAGCAAAATGTTACAGGTTCTCCTAAACCTTATTTAAAAGTTAAATGCAGTATATTGAGAGAAAGTTCATGGTCTGAATCAGTAACCTAATCGATCTCTTCACCCATCCTTTGCAACATGCATTAATCTATTTGTCTGTTTTGCAATACAAGAGTTACTGATTTATATGCCATGTTGCATCTACATTATGGCTGTGTAAGTAATGGCTATTTTCCTTTTGGATTAGTTAGTTGCTCATTAAGTTGGGCAGGGATGGCTTCATACCTTGGATAGTTTAGTTTTACACCTTATTTTCTCATGAGCTAACTAAGGGATAGCAAGAGAGGACTAATGTCGCAAAAATGCTTGGTCATCCACTCTTAGTAGAAAGAAGTGGAAAGTTAACCACAGCCTATGTTTTCTTAAGTCTGTGCCTGCTTAATTTCCCCAAGATCTAAAATAATAGGCTCTAGTTTGGCCTTGGGATGGGCTTGGCAGGAATGACGCCCAGTGCTGCAAATCAATTCGATGTCATAGTCCCTTTATTCCTGTATTCTTTTATTTCAGATGAGTGCATGCACTCGAGCTCAAATGCCTGTGTGCACACACATGTGCACGCGCACATACACTCATATATTTGTGTGTGCAGATATACCTTTCTATTTTTGCCTGTCTATATATTTGCATATACCCACATGTGCAATGCTTATAAGAAAAATAAATATAGAGTCATTCTTTACAGATACTGAGATCACAAATTGCTTGATCCATGCTATGTTGTAGGCATGAAGAACATTTTCTAAGATTTTTATTTTATTTTATTTTTGCAGAACGACGTTGTTAGAAGTAGCAGGGGTCTCTGTTAATCTTCCAGCATCCCTCATTTGTCCATCTCTCCTCCTCCTACTAGGCCTCTCCTGTTAGCTCTCTTTTAGACATCCCATCTGCAGTCCTTAATTTCTCACTGTTAACCCCATTTTGAATCGATCAGATGGGCTATGGAATAGCTTTATGAATAAAGTGAAAAACAAAACCAAAGTTCCACATTCTATCTTTGACAAAGGAGACTTCAACAGCTTAAAAAACTTTAAAATGAGGCTGTTGGCATGGCGGCTCATACCTGTAATCCCAGCACTTTGGGAAGCTGAAGTGGGTGGATCACCTGAGGTCGGAAGTTCAAGACCATCCTGGCCAACATGGTGAAACCCCATCTCTACTAAAA